TTTTTTTTTTTTTTGGTACTGGGGCTCAAACTCAGGACCTTCTGCTTGTGAGGCAGACAGCAGCACCACTGAGCTAAATCCCCAGCCCAATAACATTTAAATTTTAATGAGAAATTAGGAATTTAAGAATAAAACTGAGGTCAGAGTGGTCAGGCCAAAATGTTACTAAATGACCTTAATCCTCTGCATAAAGACTTCTGTAAGGCATTAGCATCCCTAGCCACGGCCACTCTGGAGTCTGTCATACAGGAGAGGTAAGGGAGTCAGTCATTGGGATTGGGATTGGGGTTAGGCACTTCCTGTCTGTACCCCATTTGATCCTTATGTAAGCTACCAATGTAGGCACATTTTGCCCCGTTTTCCACTGGACATCTATAGGTAGCATCTACTACTACTGTTCACTCTAAAAAATCCTACTGCTCAATTCCCAGTGATACAAATTCACAAGCTACCCTAAAACCTTGTACTACAAGAACTATGGCTGTCAAGTGAGCCAGCAGTTAATGAGTGCCTCGTGGTAATGCTGTCTCCAGCTTGTGGGGCTGTCACTGTTCTCTGGTTGCTATTTTTTTCTGATCCTGGACTAGTACACAGGTGGGCCAGGACAACCTTCATCTGGGACTAAGAGCCGAAGCTCATCTTCGGTGTTGGCATGCCATTTACTGCCTCCATTCCTTTCCAGATTTGGATCTCGCTGTGCCAGAATATTCCGTCTGGTTTTGCAAAAGAAACACCTAGAGCAGAAGCAAGTGGAGGACTTTGCAATGATTCCTGCAAAGGAGGCAAAGGATATGCTATATAAGATGCTCTCAGAAAATTTCATATCACTCCAGGTAACCAGTGATGTATAACTGCCAGCCAGCAAACTGGTGAGAGAAGCTCCTGAGCAGACATCCTGAGTCCTTCGGCAAACTGTAGCTGTGAGATGGCAAGAATTATTAGCAGACGTAGCAAGCACTTGAAGGAAAATGTGGAGCTTAAACTGGCCTAGTCAAAAATAGAAGCAGCCAAGAAATCACCTTAAAGCTGTCCTGCCTCTTCTTCTCTATCATCCTGTCCTTTCCTCAAAGTTTTAAAATCTGTAATAGATTACATCTATCAATACGTTCTACTGGGTCCTTGTAGCACCAGGTGGTAGACCCTATGATGAAGGAGTAGAATGGATCATGGAGTCAGCTCATAGCTCTGCGTCTTACCTAGTTACATCAAGTTACCTGCCATAATTTTCTCCATGGTGATAGCTTGTGGTAATGATAATATAGTTTGTTGTAAAAATTGAATACAATCCACTTGTCACATAAGAGTTTTCTCATTAAATATGGGTTGCCTTCCTTTTCTTTCCCACTTGGGATGCTGATGGGAATGGGAGAAAAAGAAAAAGACAAAATAAAACAAAACAGCAGCCCAGTCTTTGTGTAGCTCATTATGCCTTAAATTGAGCTACCGAATGACTAGGGAAAAGGAAAGTATTAGTGAAAGAGAGGGCTGAGTAGTGGTGAATGTGGTGGAGGTTTATTTTGCCAACTCTGAAGAGCAGTGAATTTCTCTTATTTATATTCTTTCTGTGGAAAAATAGGAAATTCCAAAAACTCCAGACCATGCCCCTTCCAGAACCTTCTATTTATATACTGTGAATATCCTATCAGCTGCACGAATGTTGTTGCACAGGTGCTACAAGGTAAGCCCACCCAGACCTCCCTATCTCCTTCACACAGAGGGCTCTCCCTCTTCCCTCCTTTACCCATTTACCTGAGCTTCTGAAATATAGCTGTGTGCATTTCTAGTCTTTTTTCCTCAGAGTGTAACCAACTTGATAGAAAGGCGGCAGTTTGAAACTAAAGAGAACAAGTGAGTAGTGTTTTCATTTGAATCATTTAGATTTTTCAAGGTCAAGGGTCTAAGGGGAAATTTTCTATACAAATGAAGACAGTATTGTAATAACCAGTCTAGTTCCACTGAGTCATCGGCTTCAGTTGCCATAAATCATGCATTAATCTACACATTTCCAATATACCCCTAAGAAAATAATTTTGCGGATTAAGTTTATGAGAAAAGTACAAACCCTCCAAATTCAGGAGTTGTTATATTCCCAATTAAATTTATAGAAATGTGCTTAGACAACAATATTATCCACCCTGACCAGAAGTATGGTAATGGGGGGAGTTGTGTCTCAGATAACGGGTAGAAGGATCTTCAAATTGGGGAACATGCCTCAGAGTTGCGTTTGTCTGCTAGGCGTCTACTCGAAAAGTCTCAGAGGGTAGAAGCCATCATTGCATCTGTGCAAGCCACAGGTGCAGAGGAAGCGCAGCTGCAAGAAATAGAGGAGATGATCACAGCCCCTGAGCGCCAGCAGCTGGAGACCCTGAAGCGGAATGTCAACAAGTGAGCTTAGCTTCAGACCTGTATTTCAGCATACCTTCCAGACAAGTCCGTCCCAACGTTCTGCAACCCATCCAGCTAACAAGTGAACCTGAACTCACTGTCTTCTTTCCCAGCTCAGTTAAAGAATTTAATCCACCTATTTTTCTGAACCAATAATTCTGAAGACATCCTCAGGTGCTTCTCTGCATACTAAGCTTACTCTGTTTTCACCAGGCATTCTAAATTTTACTTCAGGAATGTGTCTCAAATCTGTCTTTCATCTTGGCCCCCATACAGGCTTTCATCTCATCTTTCCTAGACTTTCACAGTGACCCCCGCCCCCGCATCATCTCAGAATGCTTTCAAAAGTATTATCTTTAAAACGATTGATAACATCACGGTCCTACTTCAGGTGATGTAATTCCTTACATGGACAGTGTAAAGACCAGACTCACCGGCATGACAGAAGAGCCTTCAGTTTCCTGGCAGCCTGTCTCCATCTTCATTTCCTTCCATTCCTCACCACTTGCCTTAATAGGGATCGCATTGAATCTGTAGATTGCTTTGGAGAATACTGCCAACTTCATATTAAATATTCCAACCTGCGAATACCAGAGGTCTTTCCATTTACTTAGGTCTTAATTTTTTTCAACAGTATTTTAGCATTTTTCTTGTACTAGTCTTGCAACTTTTTAAATTTTGTGTGTGTGTGTGTGTGTGTGTGTGTGTGTATTTCTTACATTATTTTTGGGTCATTCATTACTAGTGTATCAAACAAATTTTTGTATTTTGATTTTATATCCTGCAACTTTGCTAATTTGTTTATTCTAGTAGTTTGGGGGGATTCTTTGTGAATATATATATGATTATGTCATCTTTGAACAGAGAAAGCTTTACACCTTGCTTTGCAATCTAGATGCTTTTGGGGGTGTGTGTACTGGGCATGGAACTCAGGACCTTGTGCTTGTGAGGCAGGTGGTGGCATCACTGAACTAAATCCCTGCCCTTAAGATGCTTTTTCTTGACTAATTGCCCTAGATGCAACCTCCAGTATAAGGTTGAGTGGAAAAGCAATAGCAGACAACCCTGTCTCACAAAAGCTTTCAGTCTTTCATTTTGAGTATGATATTAGCTCTGGTCTCTTATCATGTTGAAGAAGTTCTCTTCTCTTCCTAATGACTATTGATTTTAAGCTTTGGTCACCCTCAGCTTCTCAGAGTTTTAAAACATCCTGAGACCTTTTTACCTATGTCTTTACATGTGCTGTGCTTCCTCCTGGTTGCAAGTTACACTGTAGCCTCCCCCAGGACAGAGGCTCTATCTTCCGTACCCTCAGCAACTTCCACAGTGAAATGCTTTCATTTTTTCAGGTTGGATGCCAGTGAGATCCAGGTAGATGAAACCATCTTCCTGCTGGAGTCATACATTGAGAGCACCATGAAGAGACAATGACCCAGAAGAATCATCTTCCTCAAAAGAGAAACAAAGGAGGTGCCTGGATACATTCTCTTCAGTAAGAGAAGTTGCAGGTTCTTGTTCTGAAATCCCCTCTCTGTTCCTACTGCTCAGTGTTCAGATGAGAGGGTTTGAAACTGGGCGTGGTGGTGACTGCCTATAATCCCAGAACTCTGGAGGGCTATAGCAGGAGGATCACAAGTTCAAGCCCCCCCCCTCGGCAACTTAGTGACCCCATAAGACCTTGTTTCAAAATAAAACATAAAATGGATACAAAAGTTAAGTGTGGAAGAGCTAGGGATGTAACTCAGTGACACAAAGCCAGCCTGCCAAGCACAAGGCTGAGTTCCATCCCCAGTACCCAGTACTTTAGGGGGATAAAAAGTTGAGGATGAAAAGAATTAAAAGCATCATACCACAGTGATCTATGCACATGTACGTTTATAGCAGCTAAATTTTAGAAGCAGCCCAAATGCGTATTAACTGATGAACGGATAAAGATGTATTTTTTATAGGATGGAGTACTGTTCTGTCATAAAGAATGAACTTGAACTTGAGACATTTCTAGCTAAATGGATGCACCTTGTTGACACTATTTAAGTGACATAAATTGGACATATGTATTTACTGCATTTTCTGTGGTGTGAAAAACTATAAATAAGGACTAAAATGTGTAATAGTTATTGAGAAATGAGAAGAAATGTTCAAATGGGAAGGGGACTAAGGAGGGGGAGGAAAGGGAAAGAACAAGGGAAAATACAGACGAAAAAGCTTTTGTAAAAGAGGGGAAGAGAGGGTGAAGGGAGGGGAGGGGAATGGGAAAAAAGCAAGATAACATCACGTGAATTCCCTATGATGAATGTTATTATGTATATCTAAAATGTACCAATAAATGTTTTGCTTCAAGAAAAAGAATTAATGAAATAAACTATAACTCTACAAAGCTTAAAAAAAGAAAAGCGGGGATGTAGCTTAGGGTAAAAGCCTTGTGTTCCATCTCCAGTACCACCAAAATAAGAAAGAAAAAAAATTGACTTATTTTTCCTTTTTGGGGGCAGTACTTCAGATTCACTGTGCTTTACCACTAAACTGTGTATTCCAGGCTGGCCTGACTTGCCCAAGCTGCTCTCAAAATTTCCATCCTCCTGCCTCAGCCTCCCTAGTGCTGAGATTACAGGTATACACCACTATGCCCAGCTCTTTGGAGACCCAGGTCTTGCTAAGCTCATGCTGGCCTCAAACTTGGAGTCCCCTGCCTCAGCATCACAGATAGCTGAGAATGAGAGTTTAACATTTTGTTTTAGTTTGTCGATTCTGGCTTAGGCCTATCCCTATAGAGAATCCTTCCTTCATCAAATCGTGGCAATGGGAAGAACCTTAAATCAGTGAGATGAATCATCTGTCAGATGCCGCTGTTCTCGTCAGGGAGTCAGTCAGCCTTTATCCGAACATCCCTCACAATAGGAAACTTGTTCTTGAGCAGTCAACTTCATTTTCAAAGGTCTGCCTGTTGTAAAGTTTACTGAGCTGTGGTGTTCACGCACACACGCGCGCACACACACACACACACACACACACACACACCCCGTGGGGGGAATGTAAAAGACCGTAAGGAGGGAGAAAACTGATTTTCAGGAATAGATGGGCCGACCTAAGCAATCACATAGAACCTGTGGAGCTGCCAGCTGAGGCTTCTGACGCGTGCGAGATTGTGTATATAGAACATTTAACAACGCCTGGCATATGATAAGCACATAAATTACTGATTTCCTCATCTCTACGATCGCCTTAGAAGTGGCAACTCCAAATTTTCTCTCAGTATCATGGATATCATTTTTCCCAGCAAGTTCAGTTCATTTAAAGCAGTTAGGTGTTGCTTATAATCCCTTCTATTTTCTCCTACCAATTTTGTTATAATTCTTTAAACACTCGGGGGTCAATGGCCACCATACTATGCATAATATACAAAAACAAGTGAGAGACTACCACTGACTTAGGGCCTTTGCATACCAAGTCCTGGGCCAGGCCAGAGCCTACAGCCTAGAGGAAGGACAGCAGTACAAGTGGAAAAGTAAGCACTAGGCACAGAGAGGCAAGAAAGAAAAAAGGGTCAGGAAGAAAGGAGTAGGAGCGACTGTCCATGCTGTATGAGATGGCTCAGGCCTCTAATCCCAGCACTCCAGAATCTGAGGCAGGAGGATCACAACTTCAAGACCAACTTGGCCTACTAGTCAAGACCTGTCTAAAATATGACAATCTGTACTTTGAAAAACACTGATTTAAGGGGGAAGAATCCCAGAGGGGAGCATTCTTAATTCTTGGGACAACTACGAAGTATTCAACTAAAAAACATGGTAAGGATCCTTCCAGAATTGGGCTAGAGGAACGGACAGGAGCAAGGCCCCTATTCTGAGAGCACTGGGGTGGGGGGCGCTAGGACAGGTACAATCTGCAAAAGCAGACTGGTAAGTCTGGCAGCACTTCCCTATTGCCAGGGCAGGGCTATCACGGCTTACGAACAGAAAGGCTTGAACTAGAGCAATGGAGACATCAGGATTTGAGAAAGTTTAAGGTAAAATCTTTGACAGTTGCTTGCCTTTTGAGATAAAAGAAAGAGGCATGGGCATCAAAGATGCCTCTTGAGGGGCCGGGGATTTAGCTCAGTGGTGCTGCGCGCCGCCTGCCTCCCAAGCACAAGGACCTGAGTTCGATCCCCATACCAAAAAAAAAAAAGGTTCTTGGGTACCTGGCTTGGAAACTAGTAACTAATTCCTAGGTGCTGCAGTAGAGGTTTGCAGAGCGCCACAGCCCAGCCCAAAGCGGGTGGAAGGTGACACTGAGTCGGGAAGTCATGCGCTCTAGGGATCACTATCCTGAGAGAGGACCGGAATAAAGAAGAGCTGAGCGCTTAGAGGCGCTGTCCCTTAGTAACGTTACACGCAGGGGTTGTGCTCAAGAGTTGGACCCACATTTGCCCGACATTGGAGAAACTGGCCTCCTCCAGCTGGGCGGGAAGCCCGGAGGAGAGGCGTCTCTGTGCCACCAGGGGGCGCCGCGAGGGCCTCAGAGGCCACCGAGCCAGCCATGGCGGCGCCCCGGGTGCTGCTGCTG